GGATAAGTTTTCAACATAGGACATGTACACGTCCGCTAACAAAGGTCCTAATGGACTCCCCATAGCAACGCCATCCACTTGTCGAAAATGTTCGCCTTCAAACGTGAAATGGACGTTGTCAGTACATAATAATAATAAATCTTTCAAATAAGTTAAAGGGAAAGGGAATGAAAAACAACTAGAAGATATATAGTCACAAAGAATATCAACAGTCTTAATCAATGGTACATTAGTAAACAAAGAATTAACATCAAATGAATACATTTTCCTATCTTTTATGTTCATATCTACAAGACAGTCAACAAGTTCAAATGTATCTTTCAAAGTAAACTTACATAATTAATTGCGTACTGGACTTAAGATATCAGCTAACCATTTTGCTAGTTTATGTGTAGGAGAGTTACACATTGAAAGAATTGGACGTAATGGGTTGTCAACCTTATGAATTTTAGGTAGTCCATAGAGGTTTGGAAAATCAGATCCCATGGGTTTCAAGGAGTTAAACTCCTGTTTATCGATAACGTTCATGCCACGAAGTTTTACTAAATGAGAATTTACTTTTCCTTCCAGTTTTCTGATATCATCCGAAGGAACATCGGCTATGAATTTATTTTCGTCATTAAGGATGGATAGCATTTTTGTTTTATAATCATTTCTGTCCATTACAACTACACCAGATCCTTTGTCAGGTTTCAGAATAACTATATCGGATCTATTACGTAATCCCTTTAGGGCTTTGAAATGGGTTGATGGTAAAGTGCTTCTTTGTTTTCGACTTGAATTACGGAATTGATGTGCAACATCAACAAATTTAACTTTCAACCAACTTTGGTCATCTATCGAGGAAGGAGTTAGAGAACTCAACTGATCATACAAATTTTCAAACTGAGAATCAATTGCTAAGTCCGAAATATTGTTTAATGGGATAGCGCTAATACATCACATTTTTCAGATAGTCTCCGTCTTCTAATAACGCTATCAAAATTTATACTACTTTTATTACTTTTTGACGTTTAAGTCACGTTTTTTGTTTTTTTTGTTTGTTTTTCTCTTCAAAATCATGTTGCTTTTCTTCTTAATTCGACTGAAACATTGATCACTATATTATATGGTGTGTAGATCTGAGAACACTCTTTATTTGCAGCAAAACGTCTCCTTCTTTTATGGGTTATTTTCTTGGCAGTCAATGAACTCCGGCAATCAATCTTTGAATGTTTGGCATTCGATTCGCTCCTCTACTTTCAAATGTAAGATCATGAGGTTACAGAACTGAACTGCATTGACTCACTCCTAGCTTAAAGATAGGCGGGATTGGAGTGGTTGATGGATCATGTTGGCCAATTCGCTCGCTTATTTGAGGAACTGCATCAGCCAACGCGAGCTGGTTGATGGCTGACGAAATCTCGGTACGGAGATAGAAGGCTCGTTTGGTGTATGCCGATTTACGCCATCTCTGGCTTAGTAGACGTGATGTCTGGTTGACTGTCGACCAAAATACGTGTGTACTGATCAGCATAGCAGTTCCTTCCTGTTCTCCTTTATGACTGTTAGCAATATTGAGGTTAGGCATCGGTCGAGTGCTAGGTAAGGAGTAAAAATCAATCGACGAGGTTGTGACCGACTGAGATGGTTAGAACATGTTTTACGCATTACTAGCCATCGTCTTTCTCGACAATGGGTAATGTTAGCTGATATAGGATGGATCAGGTTGAAAAAGATCTAGCACTTAGTGGTCAGACGAAAACATGGCTTCATCAGTCAATGAAACAAATCCACCACAGCTACTTTAAGCCAACCATGTCGGAAGGTGTAGACTTCTTGATTGGTTGGCGTCATCGGGATGGTAAAAACCAATGAAGGCTGGTGACAATTGGCAATATGGCTCAAAATTGGTCTCAATGGTTGGTGCAGATGCATCCACTCCTTGCGATTTATCATACATATCCTATAAAAGTTATATTGTTCTTCCATATTACTATTCTTTTTGCCTCATATCTCTGTTTATTGTCTCTGTTTCGCATTTTTTTTTACTGTCTTCTCTTGCTTTGTGTGCTACAAGGAGGGAGTGTGGCAAGTGGTACTGCTGCACATCAGTGCAAAGTTCTACGTTTGAACCAGTCAGTCAGTTAGATCCTGGTAATAACCATTATACTCATTTAAAGGCTACCTAGAAACTGAGTGATTTCATGATAGGTGGTCTAATAAACGCTTAGTGGGAAACTAGTGCGTATATTTTCAAATTTCATATAGTCTAGAATACTAGATCCCCAATTCTTGCAAAGATGCGTCGGTGATTCAACTGTAAACTGTTCGTCAAACAGACACGTGGGCGGCCAGGTTCACTTCTTGACTTACGCACTTTTAAAAGTATAAAGGGTAGGTCGAATAGGAGGTTAAACAAACTTACCTCATGTAAATAACACCACCTCTATTGAAATTTGAAAACAATCACTTTGATTTAGTATCTAAAACACTCCGCCTTCATACTGTGTACTCCCTGTTCAACTCCAGTGGTACCACAGCCTCTTATACAATTAAGTGTATATACACATTGGATCATAGGAATGATTAAAAAGTTGGTTGCAGAGAAGGAAATTTTCTTTTCAACGAAGTCACTATCACCTAGGCTGTACATTCGTGTATTTATGATAAATGTGGGTGGGAAAGTTCCAGAATAATTTACACTCAAGGGTCAAATTAATAAACGGTTTTCTGCACAGGTTCATAGACAAGAATCTGAAACCAAAGAAGACTTCCAAACAAGTCCAATCCGTCCCAAAGAAGAAGATACTTCTGCTTAATCTAGAGTTCAAAGGTAACATTGAAGCAGAAATCCTTCGTAAACGCCTCTGCAAATCTCTGAGGAAAACATACTTCGCCGCAAGCCTACGACTGACGTATTCCTGCAACAAACTGTTCAGCCAGAATGCGAAAGACAAGCTGTCTCACTGGGCCACATTAACGTGCATATACCAGTTTACTTGCTCTTGTGGAGATGAGTACATCGGCTGTACCGTACGCCAACTTCAAAAACGCGCTCGTGAACACTATCCAGCTTGTCCAGTATAGGAGAATGAAAACATGTGTATAGTTCAGTGACAGAACATTTGGTCAATTCAGGATATTCAGCGCCATTCGAAAAATCCTTCAAAATAATATGCAAGATATGGTCAAACCTATCAAAGGGATTAAAATGAAGACATCTGGGCGTAGCCGAGGCTCTAGCTATCCAAAAGCTCAAACCGAAGCTGTGTCCATTAGGAATACGTCGAACCCTTGTCCCTGCCATGACCATCATAAACAGGTAATTCTTTTAGTAATGACCATCCTATTGCCTTTCTTATCCAAACTTCCTGTTTATTCATGTTATTTTCAAGTTTTTCTTAACCCCTCCTATTTACACTACCATATTTCCATATCCGAACTTCCTGTCTATTTCGTCATTTCATTATTTGTACATTTTTAACCCTAATTGCACAATCAATGTCAATCTTCTCAGTAATTATGATGCTACTTTGTTTGAGTTTTATTCGTCCATCCCCCTGTTTATTATGGCATTTTAATTCCTAATTGTAATTTTACTAATTTGACCCTTGACCGGAGATAATTTTGGAACTTTCCCACTCACATTCATCATAAATACACGAATGTACAGCTATCTAGTTGATAGTGACTTTGTCGAAAAGAAAATGTTCTTCTCTGCAACCGTCATTTTAATTAAGTGTATCTTAGGGCTTGGTGTGTAAATCTGTGATAGCTTCCGAGCCTTATTATTGTATTATTATTGTTATTATTATTATTAGACTCAAGGATAGGTACTGAGAGTGCAGTGGAATTTAATACTTAATTTATTTTGGCCAATTTATTGGTCAGTTTATACTAAGGTCTACTAATATTATATTGCGCTGAACAAGCTGACAGAACTATTTGAATAAGGCATTTAGAAGACAAATTTCGCGAGATGATGTCGTCATTTCGTAGTTTCTTTACAACCGCTTTACAACTAACATGGTTAACAATAATAAAATAAAGATCTTGACAATTACTCAGTTAAATAAAAAACAAAAGTACACACTAATGACCAATCATATTTAGATAGGTCATGTAGTCCAGGGTAGGCGAAGATTGAAGTCTATTGATTTTTGTACACACAGTTTAGGCTGTATGTGATTAATCCAAAGGGCTTCCATCACCTTCAGTTACCAACCTTGAATTATAGTTATGTGAAATAATTGTGAAGCAGTCATTCAATAATATTGATTTTGTGACCTGACATTAATAAGTGTTTTGCAATGGATGATGCTGGATTTCTATTAAGATTAATCGTGTTAGGATTTTCGATATGATTTACTAGCCATTTTGGAATATGTTCTTTTCGACGACATTGGAACATTCTATTGGTTCTACCTATATAGGTGTCACCGCAACAACTGCAGGTGAACTTGTAGATACAGTTTGAGGGGAGTAGACTCCACACAATTTCGTCCTTTAATCGTATGTAGGTACAGGGATCGAAAATGTTCGGCAAGTGAGAGTAAAAGAGATGTGGCGGCGTAGAATGTGCGTTTGATGGCTGACCGAAGTCCTTGAGCTAACTGTCAACTGCATAATCTGGTCACCCTTGAATGGTAGGTTAATAAAGATAGCTTTCTTTGGTACAGAAGCTGTCTTTTCGAGATGTGGTTTTTCTTTGCTGTGAAAAGTGATAAAGTTTCACCGGATAACCATTAGCTAATTAAAATTGAATGTATATGTCGAAACTCATCCATCAATGTGTGACAACTCGTGCATATTTTTCGGGCCCTTGAGAACAAACATTTCACTAGGGAGGAACGTTGTTTATACTGGATAGGAACAAAACTGGTAAAATGAAGATATTGTCCACTCCATGTCTGTTTACGATTAGGTGTCTTTATCTTGTGTTAATTGAACATTCAAGATTCTGTGAGGCTATCATTTGCATGATTTTTACATATATATATTTCTATTTGACATTTCAGGTTGTAATGACGCCTAGTCAAATAACTGAAAACATCAATATCGGTTGTGCTGTATCCGTTGAAGGTGATATACACACTATTCCAGATAATTTTCATAAATCCAAATCATCACTTGCCAGTAGGACTAATATTCAATGTTGGGGTGAATTACACGCTAAAACTGTGACTATTCTTGACAATGTTACAAAATCGTCTGAGAATGACTCATCTTCTATTTGTCAACACCGTCATGAATCTCCAGATCTGTCCTCTTGTTCTTCTTCTTCGTCTCCCACTACTCCTACTGCTGCTACAGAAGTAAATCAGGGGATAAGCTCCGTTGGTCGACATAGTCCACGACCTGATTTAGGCGTTCTACGCTCAGTTGAAGGATTAGCTAAACGGCATAGACTACCAGAATTCTCTGCAATGCTTAGAATGCGTGCACGTATTAAACAGGCAATTCGTAAAGTGATGAATTCCTGCAATTATTTAGAGGTATGTCTTTCCCATGTTTTAATTATTATTATTATTATTTTTTTGAATAAAGCAAGAACAACAGCAGTTTTTGCAGAATAAGAATGGTACCATCCTTTGTTTATTTCGTTGGCCTTCTCATCATCTGCTTGCAGGCCGAAATCATACACACAGGGAAACTTTCGACATTATGTAATCAGATGAAAGAGAGGTGAAAATATCCGGTTATCAGGGCAAAGAAACACTGATAACTGTTTCTTTCTGGACGCACAAGTCAGGTTTCAGGTGCCTGATTGAGATTACTTCGGTAAACTTAAGGAGAGTTGAACTCTTTTGCCTATTGATGATTTTGAATGATCTTACAACGTCCACATCATGACCCGTGTCAAGGAGATGCCTGTCGATGGGATTGTTTAAAGCATGTTGTTCCCTTTAGACTGCAATTCAAGGGCGATATACCAAGTGAGATCATTACGAAGAAATTAGGAAAATCAGTCTAAAGAACTTTTAATGCTGGCGAACTACACGTCTTGTTCTCCATACGACCAATGGTGATTCCTGGACTGAAAGATGAAATACCTAGACTAGCTAGCCACTTCCAATTGTATCTACCAATTCAACTGGGCTTGTGGAGTGAATAATATCGACCGTTGTTCTAGAAACTTGATTTTTCGTGCTCTCTCCGGGACATCACCCAGTATGGTTAAATAAAGGTGTAGTAAAAACCGTCAACAGTTTGGTATTAGACCATCTGATCCAAACTGGCCACAAAGCCAGCCAGTATTGAAGAATCCTTCTCTATTATCTACCGATTACCTAATAAATTGCCAAAAACATCGAGGTACCGAAGACTACAAACAGCAGAGTCTATCGCGATTCGCTTGAAACAACCAGTGCTCTGTGTGCAAAAGAAGCAAGTCCAGTTAGCCACTACTACTGCCCTGACCGGCCTTCAGTAGAGACTATAAATTCATGAATTTGTAGTATTATCTTTCCTAATATTTCTGACATTCAGTGTGTATTGTTATGTTGATGCTATCGAACTGTAATCCACTGATATTATTATTATTATTGATTCGATGTTATTTAAACAACGACATTAATGTTGTTCATAACACTAATTTATTCATTCATTCACTATTATTATTATTTATTATTGTATCCTTTAGTTCCTAGAGGAACATAGGGCTTCAGCTGCGCACCTCCATTGCCTTCTGTTTTCTGACAACTTTTTCATCTCACTCCAAGTCTGCCCACTTGCTTTCATCTCCTCCTCGCATGACCTCCTCCAAGTCACCCCACCTTCGGACGACCAACTCGCTGCCTCCCTTTCGGGTTCGACTCGAGCAATGGCTTGTCTAGTGATGTCACTTGATGGTTTGTTTCCTCAGAGTATGGTCATCCAATTCATCTCCATTTCTCCTGCTTATTTGTTTCACAATCGGTTCCTGCTGGGTTGGTTCGCTCATAGCCAGAGATCCCTAACTGTTGCTGATCTTTTCTGCCAGGACATCTGATCTTGAGTAGTATTGAGCGAAGACAATTGTTAATGAAGGTCTGAAGTTTGTTTGAGATGCTCTTTATGACTCGCCAAGTCTCTGATCCGGATAGTGAGTAGCACTGACTTTACATTGGAGTTGAAAATCCGGATCTTACTTTTATCTTTACCTTTATCTTTATATCTTATTATTTTTTATTCACTATAGTGTATACATAACTGTAGAGCCTAATGATGAAGAGCAGGTTATCGAAAAGAGTACTCTTTGTTCAGTAATCATTCTTTTGAAAAAGATTTTAATGGACATTTTTAATCAGTTAAAAGTTACTGGGTTTGCTGCGTAACCTGAATGCCTTGGTACACACTGTGTAAAGAGTCCCGAATTAGTACGAAACAACTGTCAAGTGCTTCTTGATGCTCTGCATTGGTTCACTAACTAAATTTAATCTACACTGATCCCTAGCAAAGCTCAATATTCTAAACTGCTTTCTTTGTCGTTTCTCATAGTGTAGAACACAAAAACACATGGAATGTTATTATTCTATAATGTCCCTTTTCTGCCTGCTACCTAATTGATGTGCATTTCGTAGTAGTTACGTTATAGATTATTATTTCAGCATATAACACAACACAGTTACCACCTACCAATCATATAAATAAGGCGCGCGCACATTCGCTCTCTCTCTCTCACACACACAACCTAGTTAGTTAGTCAGTTAGTTATTTCAATCTATGTTGTTAAAGTACACCTAAAATTTCTGCATAAATTTTACCCTAAAAACTATCGACACTTTATTTTTTGTGTCATCTTACGATTTTATCACACCAATATAAAAGTTAATCAAGACAAGAACAAGGACAAGAAGCCAAAGAAAATCAATATGAGTACATATATATGTCACTTAGTCTTGAATATTTTGTTATTTATAATTCATGTGATAATAATGATCACGACTACTGCTACCGTAAGAGTATAGCGGTGATCATGATTATGATGTCGGCTTTCGTCTATCTATCTTATCGATCGACTGCTAAAGTCAGTTGGAATGATACTTCAAATTATTATTATTATTATTCTCAAATTTAATAGCATTCCGTTTTTAGTAATATATTTTTTGTTCAGTGAGTTGTGAATAAACAATAGGATGAGCATAATTTATGCGCATATATATATAGTCCACTAAGTTTTGAGAACTTTAATTATTATTATGGTAAAGGTATTTTAATATATTTGTAGAGATTTGGTTAAGTTTAGGGGGGAGTGGAGTTGCTAGCACCACGCCCCCAATCCTCCTGGGCTCTTTATCCAGGCTTGGGACAGGCTAGAAAACTGGCGAGCTAGTAATCTAAGCGCCAATCACCATCAACAACGGGGGAGGGATTTGCAAGAGGTTACACTTTATTCACTTATCTTATCTAGCATTGAGCATTGTCTCAGCTACAGGCAGTTGGAATGGGCGAGGATGTCAAATCGAGTGAGAATCGGGAAGGCAAGCGAGAAACACATTCACTCATCAACCAACCTGAAACTAATCTGGAAATCTTCGTCACTCAACTCAGTATCAACAACAAAATTCGGTCGGATTTTCAATACAAACAACGTCAAGTCAGTCAGTTCTTCTATATGGATCAGAAACTTGGCGGGTGAGTCACAAAAATATTTCCAACAGCCTGTTGCATACCTTTATCAACCAACAACTGTCTTCGTTCTATACTGAAGATCAATCAGATGACCGGGCCGGAAAGAATCGCCAACAAGAAACTATGGGAACAAACAAAAGAAGAAGCAATCGCCCAACAAGAAATATGCAGGAGAAAGTGGGGATGGATTGGACAATCGCTGAGGAGACCGCTGGGTGACATCGCGCGTCAAGCCCTCGAGTGGAACCCGAAAGTCAACCAAATTATTCCCTGTTGGTAACAAGTCAATCCCTGAGTCGCTGAAGTCAGCTGGTAGGGTTAATTCCATTAGTACATCTATGATGAAATTGAATAGAACTGGGGATAGTGAGCATCCCACCCTGAAGGACACCACTAGTTGTCACCACTTCAGATGACAACTCGCCGTAAGAACCCCACTTGGCTGCTCCTACGAACTCTTATTCAACGAATATTTACCAGTCCTGAGGCTGGGTAATTCAAGTGATGAAATAGATAACTAACTATTCAACAGTTGGGTTGAATAGTTGAATTGGTGAAGCGCAGGACCGACATAACACAGAGTGATCAGTATCACTATTTGACTCAGTCACAATTTCTTCTCAAGGTTCTCTAGGTGTTCCTTAATCTATAAATCACTTAAGTGATAGAAAACCTGCCTACAGTTCTGCACATCGTTCCATTTTTTAATCAGGAAGCAATACAACATCACTGCTTAGTGTATGCTGCAAACATTGATAGACAACCCAGTTCGTGTATGTGTTATCTGTGCTATTCAAAGTATGCCCATTGTAGCCTATTCATCACTATGCTACTTTTCCTTGAGGTTGTCTGAGGCAATTGAATAATAGCATTGCATTGAGCGACTTGCAGTTTACACAATTCAAGGAGGAGGTGAAATTTCTCCACAATTTCCTTTGGAAACCGAAATGATTCAGATCACAGGATGTATGATCTGTTTGATAACGCAAACGGTAATCAAGAAAGGAGGAATAAACACATGGTGCTATATACTACTTATTGACTGAGTATAAGTAGGTGAATATCACTCACATCAATGAGTAGTGTTTATTAGCTAGATTAAAGTGGCTGTTTCCCACCCCCTTCCAATTTTAGGTCGATCTCATCAGCAGTGTACACTTTTGGACTTATCTCATAAAGTCATATGGTTATGTTGATAGATTGTTTGATTTGAAACAAACTGGGCGCACATCACTGATGAGGCTGGTTGGAAACGGATGAAATGACTATCGTTCGGTGTTTAGTTCACTTTGATAATCTGATTGGTTGACTTAGAATATATACAGATGATATGGTTCTCCCTCCTGGTTGAAGACGCTGACAAAACCAACAGAGTCTTGTGAACACCTTGAGCTGAGCTGCAATCTTCGAATGTTTGGCATGCGATTCGCTCCTGCTGTCAAATGTAAGATGATGAGGTTACAGGACTGGAAAACATTGACTCACTACTAGCTTAAAGATAGCCAGGAGTGAAGTGGTTAGTGGAGCATGTTGACCACTTCACTTGTTATTTGGGAAGTTGCATTAGATAACGCCAACGGGTTGTTTGCTGACGTAGTCTCCGCATGGATACAGAAAGCTCGTTTAATATATGTCGATTAACGCCATTTCTGGCTTAATAGACGTGATATCCAGTTGGCTGTCGACCAAAGGGTGTGTGTACTGCTCAGCAGTCCGCTCCGTCCTCCTTTTTAGCTGTGAGTGAGACCTGGCCATACAGAGTGGAAGACATGAAAAGGCCAGCTATCTGTCTTTGATCATTATTTGGTAGGGATACACTTGATGTGATGAGAAAAGTGTGCGGCAGGAAATTTAACAACTTACTGTGGAACTCTAAGTAAGT